TTCTTCTTGAAAAGCCTTGTTTAAAGCTACACTCTAAAACACAGACATCTTGTCCGAGAATTTGAGTATTATCTGTACATATTAAGACAGGTCCCCTGTCTTAAATTCTTATTTCTCCCTCTTCCCCCACACCTAATGCAAAACCTGTAAAAGTGGCTGCAAAAAGTGTGAAGCAAGACTGACAGCCAGGAGCGAATGAAGCCCCAGTACTCTTTCCTGATGGAATCACGTGGGGTGGGAGCCCTATCCCAGAGAGAATTAATTCTCTATCTGTGACACAGCTACTATTTGTACTAGCTAAGTAAGTTCTAACACTGTGCAAAACACATTAAAAAATCCTGTAAGTGTTGATGTAGAAATTTACATTTTCCGCATGGAAGGAATTTAAGCCTGTAGTTCAAACTCCCACTGAAGTCAATGGAAATTTTATGTTTAAATACTTCTCAAAATATAATTCATTACTGCCATAAGTGAATCACTAGAGATACTAGGTATACCAGCCATATTTAACTTGAGTGTTACATGTGAAACAACTTTTAAATTTTTTTTTGCTAGCTGTGAAATTTGAAAAGATTGTTGTTCTTGGTGAAACAAACAAATAATTTTCCATAGCAAAACCACTTGTAGCAGCTGGCCTAAGAGAAGTCTGGTGAATAAACACGAGGAAACTAAAAAAATGGATTTCCTCTAAATCCAAAACTAAAGAAGTCTTGAAGACTTTGAAATAACATGTTGTTTGAAACATGCCTCAGACTTTCTCAGATTTCAAAAGAAACATTAAGTCCTAGAAGAGATTTGAGAGGCTGTCTTTCTTCCTCTTGGGAATCTAACTATAGAGGCAAGACTCAACACACAACTTTCAGTGGAGCTTGCCCAAGAGACATTTGCTATTACTTCAACCAAGGATATGTGTTGTTAGGAAACTATGCAGAATTCAAGTGATCCTTGGTCATATAACTATCTTCTTGCTCAGTGATAAGATGAGGACACACAACTCACTTTCCCAAATGAGTTAATGAATTTGCAGTTTCTTTTCAGCAGGTACATCAATACTGCTTAGCCATCAGTATAAATCAATCCAATATTACACTGTAAAAAATGAAAAGGAAGCATTTTCAAAAGGAACTGAAGTAGATTCCGTGTCTGACAGTGACTTAAGTCTCAGTCAAGAGGTCTCTTCTTGGAGCTCCTAACTTCAGGAAGTTATCCACAGAGACAAAGAAGGCTGTCGCTGACACCTTGATGCAGTTATCTTTTACAAATTTGCTGTGAGTTTAACAATCTGCCTGTTGCTTACAAAAGTAAACACAAGAGATAGGCTCTCGTTACAAAGCCAACTAAAGAAAAATTAATCACTCCCAGTCAAGCCAAACTTAGCATCTAGTATTTTCTTGTTTGTAGAGCAACACCATTAAATGCTTTTTTTTTTTTCCCTTTAGCTCTGCAGTGACCTTATATACACTAAGGGCAGCAGAGCAGAAAACAAGCTACCCATCAAGCTGCTCAAAAATCCTTAAACTTCAAAGGCTGCATATTCTCCTATCACTTAACCAGGAGGAATTCTCTTTCAATGACAGAGAGATAAAGGAGGTCAGATGCTGGCTCTTTAGCTATAGCTGTCTTCACAATCCTATGTTTGCTGACCAAAATCCTACTGCAATGTTTCTGGTTTTGCAATCATAAGTTAGGAGGTCTCTGTTAACCTCTTCATTCTGGAGACTGAGATTAAAAAGACCTTTTCTATTTCATTCTCTCAAGGTATGTGGGCCTCTGGCATAGAGCAATGTAATTCATGAACCAAAACAGGAAAGGACAGGCATGATCAGGCCTGCTGTAAAACTGGGGAGGCTCTGCATTTCTTGTAAAGAATAACAACTGTTTCTACAGCCCTGAGGCAGTGTCTCTTACAGGAGTTAGAAATATGCTGCTTGCAACCTTGCTTGGGCATTCATCCTCAGGAAGAACCTCATGACTCTGCATGGTAGAAGCTGTTGACTGATGTACAATTTACTGAAATATGACTGTTATAGCAGCCTCTTGCTGCTCTTGCAGGTTGTTGAAGATGACAAAAACAATCATTCATTGCTAACCTAAAAATTAAATACATATCCTAGATTTGGACAGCAAAATTGAGTGGGAGGCAGACTGGAGGAGGAAGGGAAAAGAAAGAGCAACAGATCAAAAGGCTTACTTTGAAATAGGAAAGCCAATGATTTGAAAACCTTTGGCACTGTATTTAGAGTCGTATAGACCCTCCTGCTGGCAAATCTACCCAAATCTGTCACCTCTAAGCAGTTAAAAATCTGACTTTGTACAGTGCTCCTCTTGCTCCTGCATTGCTATCCAGACTTCCAAGAAAGCACAAAATAGCAACTACCAGAGCAGATCATTGCCATTCTACTACCAGAAATGTGATCTTGCTCTCCTTTGAGTGATCACGCCTTCCAGACAAAGCCCAGAGCAGAGCATGAGATAAAGTGGATTCAGAAATATGGGGAAAGCACAGCTGCATTTGATTGCTAATTCTGACATTTGCCATCAAATACCAGGGAACTGACTTCACTGATGCTGGAGATCCTGAGTTAAAGTACAGCAGGAAAAAGGGGCCTGATCCTTTGATGGAGTGAATAATTTGAATTTTGCTGGGTTTTTTTCCAGATTGAGGATTGAGTCTCAAAAGCACTCTTGCTATCTTGTAAATGACAACAGGAAAAAAATTGATAGTTTTGAGAGGGGTGTTTTGTTTGTTGCTTTTTTTCTTTTTTTTTTCTTCTTTTTAATCTGCTGCACATGCTACTATTGCTTCAACTTCTTTGTTTATTTTCAGTCAACAAAGAAATCAAATTAATAATCCAATAACCAACCCATTTCTTCTTTCTTCTGGGCAAAGCTTTGAAATCCCAGATGAATTCCTGCACGTTTCTCAAATATAAGTTCTGCTTAGTTAGGTACAACCATGCTAAGCTCTCAGTAAACACAAAGACTTTTATTTTACTATGGGATTTAAAGGCTTTGTCTCTCACTATGGAGTTCATACTGCTACTTTTCCTTTTATCTCAACCAGGTGCCTATCACTGTAGGACATAAGTCCACAACTAGCAATAGTGAAGACAGAGGCCAGCATATGAAGATTTTTCCCAAATGAATACTGAAGGCACCTGAGACACAGCAATGATATAAAATCACATTATAGCACTTTTAAAGTGACTACCAAAGTGAGGTCAAATATATGAGTTATAAGCACAAATACCATTTACTTCAAATGTAGCTTGTGCTCCCAACTTCCTTTAATACTGAAAATCCCACTTTATACCTTCCTTGCAAAGAGTACAAAGAAAGAGGGCTGTTGAGGACCAAAGAAATTAATTTTTTTCCTCTTAGATTTCATCTCTCTGAAAAGCGCATCAAACTCTTACAAAAATAGGCTGGAGGGAGAAAGGGAGAGAGAGAGAGAGGAGAAGAACATTCCGAACTGTAGCTTCGCGTGTCATTGAGAGGAACAATTTATCAGAGCTGTGGAGTTGTCAGTCCTTGACATGATAAGGAATAACACCAAATGAGTAATGTTTCCTCCAAACCCAGCTACTTTAATTACAAGCCGCTCCCTTGCAGAAGAGAGACAGAAGATGCAGAAACCCCAATTTCATGCACTTGTGCCTGAATAATGTCTCCGTGCTGCCTTTTCCAGATGGCAACCTTTTCACTGGAGGAACTAATGATGTGGGCATATTTAGGGAAAAACCAATAACAGAGTCTTTAACCTTCAACAGCAAAAAGCATGTTGTACAAAATGTTCCTTGGGATACATTTACAAATATCAATTACATTGCTCACTGAGGTGTAATCAGCTGTAATAATCAAAATTAATTTTAAAAAATAATTAAACAGACCCCAGGGCAAATAGTCGATGCTCTTGTAGTATGACATCACAGTCTACATATGTACCTGGGAAGAACGTGCTCACTCTGTAAGCAGCAAAGTGATTTTAAGGATTGAGAAGGATGCTGTGGCATGCCGAGCAAAAACTTGCAGCTCGGTAGGGTACTATCAGACACGTTACTTGGGTATCATAGCCTTCCTGATCAACACACCTGGAACTGAACCAGTCATCACTGGGGATAAAGCTGCAACCTGCTACAGCTTGAGCTAGAGGGTGAGACTCTCTAAACTGATGCTGTAACAGACTTACTGTCTCCTCAACAGGAGAAAAAAAGACTTTAATATGTTGAGCACCGCAGTAACACAAGCTGAGTCCAAAGCTCTGAATATTGTCAATGCAGTCCTGCCCTACCCTATAGCTGGTTACTCTAGCCCTAACACACTTAAACAAGCAACATCTCACTGGTGCTTTTTAATTGCATTCTCAACAAATGCCCAGCAAATATATGGAAATGGTCCTCTCGCAGCAAAGTAGGAGCTTACACGTGGAAAAGACAGTCCAGCTGCATTGCTGGTAGTAGGAACGCTGCATATCCTCCAGACCCATGTCTGGTTTATATAAGCACTTGTGTCCTTATCTCTTGAGGCAAAACTAAAATTTGGACCTTTAATACTTCATATTGAGTAGAAAATGAAAGGACAGTACTATGGTAATATCTGATCCTTTCTACTAATTCAGTGTCTGAAGGACAACAAGCAATGTAAGTCAAAAGCAGCAGCAAAGCTATCACATCCTCACCTTGCTCTGACTGAAGCAAAGCCCTGTGAGCACAAGCACATGCAGGTTGCTTAAGTTTTTCCTTTCAAGTGCAATAATTAGGCCTCGTGCAAAAAGTATGCATTAAGACATTATATGTTAAAGCTGCCAAAAAACGTTCTTCAGATCAATTGCTATTTCTTAGTGATTATTTCTAGTAGTCTAGAACAGAAATTTTAATGGCAATAGGTGTCTAGTTTGCAATGGAACACGTCAACAGCCTCCCAAGTCCAGACAAACTCTACAGAGTGATATCAAAGGCAGACTGGTGACAGAGCAAGAAAAGACAAAGAGCAGAAGTTACCTCAGATTTGCACGTTGTTTCCTTTGTGTTTCGGCCAGGCATCAATCTAATAGCTGTAGAGAGGCTTTCACTCCAGGAATTGTGCTTGCTCTGTGACAGGCCTGGCCCTGCTTTATTCTGGAGAAGTTTCTTTTCAGATGCTGTGGGCCAGAACAGACAAAAAAGCTTGTAAAACTTGAAGTTGAGCCTGTAGGAAGGTAGAAGGTTTGTATCCCCATTACAGAAGACACAATAACATGGCAGTGCCTCACTCCAGCTAGATCGTTCTTCTATTTATACGAGAAGTATTGAGTTGACATGTACTTCTCAAGTCTTTATTTAAAAGCCTTAGAGGTCTGCCATAGGTCAGTTTCATCATACAGACATGAACTTTGAATCCTTGCAGCACTACACATGTTGGGACGCCCTTCTTCACCCTAATATCCTCCCTTTTAAATTCTCCTATAGGATAAAATTGTTTAAGGAGATTTCTCTTGCAGCACAGCATGAGCCCTGTAACATCACCTGGTGATTACAGAAGGGCTGAGGCATGCTAGAGGAAGCAATCACAATCCTGGATGAGAGAAGCTGAGAATCTGGTTTATCTAGCAAGTGATGTGCAGAGGAAGGGTATAACCAAGGAATCAGTAGCGTTCCATTAAGCGTTACATTTACTGCAATGTCTTTGCTTACTACAATGAGTGTTCCATAAAAGAACAGAGACCTATGAAGTGTTGCCAAGCTTTTGTCATAATTTCTTCCCATAAAGGCGTGATCTCCATTATCTTCATGTCCCGTTCTTTGTCATTTCCTTTTACCGAAAGATCCATCTTGTAAGTGTCCTCCAGCGCCTGCCGCCTCTGAGAAAGGAGCTGCTTCCAGATGATTTCTACTGTTCTCAGAATCTCCTGACGGACTAGGAAGCAAAAGAAACTACAAATGAAGAATCATTTTTTGTGTAACAAGTCACACAGCAGATAAAGCAAAACCATCTCATTTGGAGCAGCACCAGTCCGGAGTAACTGCTGGAGTCAGTGGAGTTGCTCCATTTTGTCTACTGCCTTCATAGGTTCTAAGCCAAACTAGTTAGTCTAACACAGAAAACAGCAAGACTTTTTTTACTATAATTCAACTCCCTGAAAGAAACAAGTAGGAGTGACAGATGATTCTAACTCATTTCTGCCTTGGAAAAACACCTCATCAGAATTTTGATGATCTTATTATCATACATAGAATGCTAAAGCATGTAAAGGACATTCCTTTATGTTGACAAACATCATTAGAGGCAGTACAGGGAAGATAACCGAGTCATGAAACGATTTGACACAGCAACAGAATGCTGTTCAAGGAAACGCTGAGCTGTTTTGCTGTATTTCCCTGCAAATCAGACTTACTTGGTTGCATCATATCCAAGCCAATATACATATATATATATAAAAAAAAAGAACATCACTGCTGTAGGGTTCAGCTGACAGACCTCACACTGAATCCAGCCCAAAATTTTTCCAATGTTTCTCTTGAAAGAGCAAAATGCTTCTTCCTGTGTACAACAGAGACACAAGCTCTGTACAGGCCTTGGAAAAAAAACCAGCTACAAATAGTATGTACTTGGGTACTGACACTGGCCACAACATGGGGAAGAGATCTCCAAACTGATATCCATTACGCCTGAGGATGTGGGGTGTGAATTCTGAATAAAAAGGTATGATGCAAGCAAGTAATTTCTAGCACGACCTTCCTTTCTCTATGCTGTGCCTGCAGTGCCCATACACTGAAGAGGCAATTAAGTAGCACTTGCACAAGCTGCTCTGATAACTGTTGAGGCCAGGCACTTTCTGGCTTTGTAAATCAAAGGCAACGTGCCATAAGTTACCATCGTTTGGAGTAGGCAGGCTGCCCTTTTCCTCTTCACTGGGTGCGAGGAAAATTTGGTGATACGAAGCTAGCTTCGGTTTTGCATCCACCCCAAAACCTTCTGGGTAGCTGTGATAAAAAAAAGGAGGGCGTGTAAGGAAATCAGACAGAACAAACTGAGGACAGTGAAAATCTAAAAGTATTTTTATACATACACTCCTACTCAATTCATTCAGCAGATCAACATTCCCAGGCTCAAGGACTTACACCAATCACATGACACAACAGGATTTACAGGAAGTGGGAACTAACCCACTGCCAGTCTAGTTTTCAAAGCCAAGGAGCAGCCACCAAGATCCTATGGACCACTCTGTTGTAAATGCCTTATCCCTGCACGTCTTAGTGCACTTATATCTACCATCCATCTCAGCTAGCTGAAACACAAGTCTGTACTGATGTAGCCAGACTGCATGCAGCTTTCTTGCACCTCCCCTGAGCATCTTGTATGCTGTCTCTCTGCTCTGAATTTCTTCACTAGATATATCTCCCATTATGTGGGAAACACTGCCTTGCCGTACCCTGCACCTGACTGCTTACCTGTCAGCCTCACCTCTGTGCCTGGGAAGATCATGGTACAGATCCTCCTAAAAGCTATGCTAAGGCACATGGAGAACAGGAAGGTGATTCGAGACAGCCAGCATGGCTTCACCAAGGGTAAGTCCTGCCTGACCAACCTAGTAGTCTTCTATGACAGAGTGACTACATCAGTGGACAAGGGAAGAGCTACGGATATTGTCTATCTGGATTTCTGTAAGACCTTTGATACAGTCTCCCACAACATACTTCTCTCTAAATTGCAGAGATATGGATTTGATGATTGGGCTGTTTGGTGGATGAGGAAGTGGTTGAAAGGTCACATCCAGAGGGTAGTGGTCAATGGCTTAATGTCCAGATGGAGATGAGTGACAAGTGGTGCCCCTCCGAGGTCTTTACTGGGACCAGTACTGTTGAGTATCTTCATCAATGACATAGGTAATGGGATCAAGCGCACCCTCGGCAAGTTTGCAGACAACACCAAGCTGAGTGGTGCCGTTGACATACCTGAGAGACAAGATGCCATCTGGAGGGATGTGGACAAGCTCCAGAAGCGGGCCCATGTGAACTTCATGAGGTTCAACAAGGCCGAGTGCAAGGTCCTGCACATGGGTTGGTGCAATCCCCAGTATCAATACAGGCTGGAGGATGAAGGGATAGAGAGCAGCCCTGCAGAGAAGGACTTGGGAGTACTGAAGGTTGAAAAGCTGGACATGAGCCAGCAATGTATGCTTGCAGCCCAGAAAGCCAACCCTACCCTGGGCTGCATCAAAAGATGCAAAAGCATGACCAGCAGGTCGAGGGAGGTGATTCTGCCCCTCTACTCTGCTCTCGTGAGAGCCCACCTGCAGTACTGCATTCAGCTCTGGGACCCCCAACATAAGGGCATGGACCTGTTGGAGCAGGTCCAGAGAAGGGCCATGAAGATGATCCGAGGGCTGGAGCACCTCTCCTCTGAAGACAGGCTGAGAGAGTTGGGGCTATTCAATCTGGAGAAAAGAAGGCTCCAGGCAGCCTTTCAGTACTTAAAGGGGGCTTATAAGAAAAGTGGGGACAAACTTTTTAGCAGGGCCTGTTGTGATAGAGCAAAGGGTAATGGTTTTAAATTGAAAAAGGGCAGATTTAGACTAGATATAAGGAAGAAATTTTTTGCAAGGAGGGTGGTGAAACTCTGGAACAGGGTCCCTTCCAATCCAAACTATTCTATGATTCTGTGATTACTAGTCTAATTTCTTTGCACCAATAATTGTTCATTCAGTTTATAAAGCACTTAGCACAAAAAAGCTGCAAACTTTAGCACTATGATGTTAGCACCATTTGATTATAATTGAGAACATCACCACTTCCAAAAAGAGTGCTACTTTGGGGGTGGGATGTGTGTCAGATAATTTAACAGTTAGTAGATAAAAGACACCAGGAATTTCAGCACAGCAGTAATACTTACAATAAATGCAGCAGGCTTAGTTAAGCCATCCAGACAACCTGGACTTGGTCACAGAAGTGCTGTCAGTAATATATATATATTAAATATAGCCAGTAGTAACATAATGCATTCTTTCAATTGTAAACAGGCACTAACACCTGGGAGAGTCAAATCTCTTGGGTATGTAAAGCTATCATTTTTATTTCTGATTTTCTTTTAAATATCACAATTCTGATTCCCTGCATTTGCTATGTTCAGCTTTTGAATGACACCAACACTTCTGTAATTTCTTTTTTAAAAAACGTTTCTGCTTTTGCTACATACAAGCAATCTTTACGCTGTCTCAACGGTTTTGGCCTGGATATTATTATCTGACTGGAATAAGAACAATCAAGAAAAGACCTCAGGAAGTGCAACTCATTTCTGATGCGATACTATGTTAATGGATTCAATTCAGACCATCTAAGCAGCACAGGTTTCCATTGAAACAAACATCCTTGTAGTGAATAAACCACTAGCCAATATTTGCTTCTTTTCACTAAAATGAGTTTCCAAAATAACTCCTCAGCTTACATTAGCAAGATTATCTCTGATATATGACCTGTAAGAATATCAAATAGAGTGGGTATAGATGTTCTACTCCTATCCAAGTCAATGGAAAAACTCCCAACTTCAGTACAACCAGGACTTTGCAGCTCAGATCCAAGTAACAATAACCAAAACAGAAAGATTCATGAGATCCATGCACAGTTTTATATATGTTTTAAATGTACCACACAAGAATAGCTGCTGGATCAGAAAAAACATCTCCTTAAATTAGTCCATGCAGATACTTCAGAGAAAGGCCACCTGCATGCTTGTGGAGTGATTCTAACCCACATCCCAGAAAGATTTCAAGATTCTTATTTTAGTGATGAGCTTATGAGCCAACTCCAGTGAAAACAGTTCAAGCTTGTTAACTGCAGTCACTACAAAGTGAGTAAGTTGCTGGAAATGCTGGATGAGTAAAACAGATACAACACATGTTTTGGTTAATAAAGAGTAGCAATTAAACCTATATGCAAATTCAAGGGTTCTGCTTAGATGAACAGGCAAGCTTCTCTGGGTGTCTCTGAAAGAACCACCATTTTCAAAATAAAAAAAAAAAATGGATCTAAGCATTAGATCCATTTATTAAGCATTAGATCCATTATCCAGATCCATTATCCATTAGATCTAAGCATTAGATCCATTATCTAGATCTAAGCATTATTACCATCCACTGTGCCCTGTTTATTACACCCACAAAGTACACACAAAAGTATACACACACTAGCCTGCCTCTGAGCAAGAGAGGTGGTAGGAAATTTTCTGCTTAGTAGCATTTCAAGGAAAAAAAAGCCTTCTGATTGAAGAGCAGTTTATCTCTTCCACTTTCTTGCTGAAAGACAATCCATTGCCTCCAGATTACTGAGCACATTAGTAACCTTCCTCTCCTCCAAATTAAGTGATAAAAAAATTACATCAAAACATTTCTGCTGTTCATTTTTTTTTAAAGTCTATGAGGAAGCATCTTTCCCCAAGTGGCTTTACTCTGCCACTTCAACAGACACCGAATCAGAGCAGAAGGTTTGCCCTATTTAAAGCAGAACGGTGCTTTAAACCCACAGAGCACTCAGCCCAGCAGGTCAAATGCTTGCTAGGATACAGTACCTATACATCCAAAGTCCTTAGTCTAGTGGCATCCACCTCAATCTCAGATTCTAGTGATTCCCCAAAATGGATACTGCTTAAGTTTTGTGACATCTCCCCCTCTGTACACACTCCCATAGATAACAGCACAGAGATGTAAACAAACATTATACTGAGATGAACATTTGTACCTGCCCAAATTCAGCTGGCAAAGGCAGTACATTAGGCAGACGACAAAATTATTAATTGAGTTGTAAGTTGCAAAAATAACGTCCCAATGCTCCTGTAGGGCATTGAGAGTGTTCAGGACATTAAACTGTTCAGGCAGCGACTGTTGTGGTCTGGATAGGCAGTATAGGATGGCTCTGTTTAGACAGCTGTACAGGACACTGAGGAAAACTTCCTTTTGAGAAACGGAGCTTTCTAAGACCTGTGAAAACATAAAACAGCAGAGTACTTGGCTTGCTCAAAGAACTCTCTTTCCCCAAGGATCCACTCCTCTCACTTCATTTAAGCTGTTGCAAACTTACTACAGCAAAGTCTCCCTGAACTACCTGTCAGATACAAATCCAATTTTTCTGTATTTCTGCTGAAGTCCGCAGAATTGTGGAAGAGATTAATTTATTCCTGTTCAGCAATATGTACATACCCAACAGACAGTGGCACAAAAGAGGTAACTATCCTTTCTTTACTCTGCACCGTCTAGCTCTGATTGTCATTTAGAGCCATTATGTGCTCATGCAATAAAATAGGAATAATCACAATCACCAACTGGATTACAGTCATCTTTCTTGAGAATCACAGTATTATGACCTCAGTGTGAAACAGTACATAACAATATGTTGATAATAGTTGGAAAAAAATTTCATGTGACTCACCCTCATAATCTGTCTGGCTGTGAAGATCAGGATTTGCTTGGAGTCAGCAACAAACATTCTGCTGTTCAGCTTCTCAACCAGCTTCTGAGCAAAATAAGCAATATTTGTCATGGATACAGGTGCAGTTGATTCTGAAGTGCCATGAGGATCACTGCTCCCTAGAGAGGATACAAGATGGTTGTTTATTCCAAAACAAGCTGAAATGCAAAAAAAAAAATACGTTTTGGAACGTTACCAGAGCTGAGAAGGAACGGTCTCATGCCACAATGTCTCAGAGTTGGGATGTGTCTGAGAAAACTTTAGGTCTAGCAGAAATGCCTTACTGAGACTAGAAATGATGGCTCCATCCTAAGGACAGAACCAATCTCACTAAAATACTATTATGAAGGACTGGTCCAACTAATGACTCAGAAAGGAGTACAGTAACAACTAAGTCACCAGGGTTGTTTCCAGAAGCACTCAAGGATAAATCTAGGTTTCTTTCTAAGTAATCCCTTTTTAATGTTCAGAATCTGTTCTCAAAAAGAGAGAAAAAAAGTGAAGAGGCTCTCTAGAAAAATGGTAAAACTACAGTAATTGATGCAAACTGGCCTATAGCAGGAGAGAATGGACAGTCCAGTTTGCTGACCTGAACTGTCCTTCTAGCTACTGTTTCCAAACCTATCTAGCAATTAAAGCTACATGTTAAGTACTAGCTAGCTAATGATCTGATTCTCACCACTCACCTCTTGGTCTTGTTTTGCCCTCGCCTTGGCTGGTAACATGGAAGACATCCATAGCAGACAGCAAAACTTTTGTCTGAAAATGTCTCTTCTGCTCACTGGTGGCATCCTCTGGAGAAGCCTATATAGTGACCATATACATATTAGTACAGCAGGAAAACAGCCAGGAAATCAGAGTCAAATTCACTTTCAGCCTTTATTCAAAGGCCTTTGATTTCATTGGATCTTTGGCAGATTATGTCTGTAAAAGATTCAGATTCAGTAAAAGTTTTGCTCAAAGAAGCGAGTATAAATTCCAAGAGACCCTCAGCACTATCTGAGATAATTCTAAGTGCCTAATAATTCCCCTAAACACCTAGGCACCTTGTTAGGAAGAAGAGGGGAAAAACAGCACAAGAGCCAGGCCAACTGCTCCACCTCACTTACACAACTGAGCCCTTGGTGTGGGCATATGAAATAGCTGCTGTAAACTGAGAAGTTATCTGTGACAGCTAATCCACAATAACATGTAAACACAGAGATGTGGTGTACTCCTCCATGCAAAGGCAGCATGGCACCTCTCAGAGAGAGTTCAGCATGAGCACGTGTGGACAGTTATTGGGCAGCAGATGAGATGGCAAAACAGGAAATCTTGCACAGATCCACACTCTCTAGCCAGCACAGTTGCCCTCTGCATGCTGAACACAAACAAGGTTTTGCATAGGGCCAGAACTTAAGTTCACAGGAGGTTCCCAAGAGATATTGCTCTCAGGGAATTTCAGCTCCATTTAGCAGGCTCAGGATTCAGATACTCAGAAGAGCCATCCTGTATTTTAAACTGTACTAAGCCTTGGGATGTTATTTTATAAACCTTTAAGAAATTGCTGCTCTGCAAGATGATTAACTTGTAATAGTTGCAGTCAAGCTTATGTTCATTACTATTCATATTACTAAGCTAAGTCTGCATCAAAACTGATGTAGATGCAAGTATGTCAATACTGACTCTTTCCAATGCTTTGAGTGGTTGAAATCCATAATCCAGACTCAGTTGTTACAGCTTGTACTGAAAGTGAACAGAGCTGTTTTTCATTTATTTGAGCACCGAAAAGAAATTGCTGTCTCAAACCTCAGTACACAGGAATGCTCCATGTGAAATCTACTGTTCTCAACAAATTCAAGGGCTGCTTTAATGACAAGCAGGTATTGTTAAGCAAAAGGGAAATTTTTTCACACGTTACTTCAGTGTTAAACGTTGCCCAAAAAATGCCTTAGTTATTGTCTAGGGGCAGCATTTTCTTAGTTCACATGAAGCAGAGCAGGCAGAAAAGGCCCTTCATTCTTTGTTGAAAAGGTAGGAATTCCGTTCCACTAAGTAGGCTGTCTAAATCTGCCAGGATGTAGCGCATGCTCTCTGAGAGCTGTGATCCTAGCCTTATCCTAGACTGTTGAAAATGCTGACTGAATACATCTCTTCATCACTGTTAGCACTTTTTTCACTAGGCCACTAGCAGGATACCTCCTGTCTTTCCAACCCCAGTGCAAGGTAGAGCAGCAAAGCCTGATGACTACAAGAGAGACCTCAAGAAGCAGCTCAAGTGGATGCCCTTGTTTGTTTGCTGGGATGCTGAGAAGACTGTCCATCAGGAGGACTTGAACAAAATCCCACACTTGTTTCTTGGCAGGGTGTGGTAAGATCGCAAGAGAGGAGGGATCAACACAGCCTTTTCCTTCAGCAATGGCTGGACCATCAGGAGTCAAAAGGCCTTCACAGCCTCCCTGTGGAAGTAGACAGCAATGCATTTTAAGTCATAATCTCCTTTAAATTGATTTTTCGTCCTAGAAATCCATCTCAGGTCTGAAGGGCTTGTGGTGGCTCAGATAAACATACCTTAGGTGGTCCAGAATGGAAAGCAACCATAGCCAAAGTTTTCAAGAAGTCAGGACAGTGCCACATGGGGTCCTGGGTATAACTCTGATAGATCAAGCACAGAAACTGGATAACATTCCCTGGATAGGAAATCTCCCAGGAGGCTTCTGTATCTGCAATAGGCTGAACACAGATAAATGGGCATCTAGTCAAGGCAGCATTCCTCTCACTCATATAAGCTCATCTTTGCTCCTCTCTAGGTATTCCTCAGCAACTAAGCAAACATGACATGGCCACGGAAAAGTCAGGCACAAGCACCTAACTCCCAGTTTGTAGACTGGAGATACATCCCATCAGAAAGGTGGCATATCTTCATCATCAAGAAAGAGCAAAACGGATAACGCTGTGGGTAAGATCCATCTCTGTGTTCAGAAGTTCTTAAATATGAGCCTATCGCATCACTTGCTATGTAACATCACCATTCCAACAGCTGTGCTGATGCTTTGAAGTCCCTGCTCACTGTTATGCTCAGTATTGCCCTGTGAGGGCAGAGGAAGGTTAGAGGTTACAGGTAAAGACTGCCACTGACATCTGACACTCTCAGGCATTTTATTCTGCAATTCATATTGCGCTGTCCTTGCAACAAAACGCTTACCTTATCCACAGTGACTCTAACCATTTCCAGCAGTAAAGCAGCTGCCTCGGCACACAACCCAATTTTGAGGACATTCTCTGTCAGGTGGTGCTGCAAGATCCACTGCAACATACACTCAAGATCTTTCTACAAGAGGAAGAGAGATGTCAAGAAGAGATGGGTATTATATATGATACATCAAGAACAATGCCTGCTCTCTCCACATCAGAAAAAAAGCAAAACATCTTCAACTCCAGCAGCTCCTCCCTCTCCTATTAATGTGTTTCCCCAGGATAGCACTAATGGATTGTCCTCTTCTGAAATATATATTTGGC